CGTGGTCCTACTTGAATAGCAGTACAACAGTAACAGGAAATATCTTCATCATCTGTACTGTCTGCTCTTAAAATTAGACTATTAGAGTTGGAAGAGGCTTGAGATCTTAAGTGTAATTGCATATCATTCTAGACAGATAGTAGCTAATATCTATTGAACTACTTATAGTAATAGTTATATTTTCTTTATAAATGAATGTCAATATTCTGATTTCATATGGTAGTCTCTGTAATACCATGAGGACTTGGAATTTTCATTGTGGAAAGATATTTGATGACAAATTCAATATCTTTAATAGGTATAGGATTCATTTTTTAAGTTCTGTTTTTTAAGGAATGTGTTCTTTTCACTTAAGTTGACAAATTTATTAGCATAATATTGTTATAATAGGCTCTTGTTATCTTTTAAATGTAAGTGATATAACAATATATCCTCTTTTATTGCTAATATTAGTAATTTATATTCTCTATTTCTTGATCAATCTCAGTAGCAGCTTATCAGTTTTGTTGATCTTTTCAAAGAACCAACTTTTGGCTTTGTTAATTTTCTCTGTTATTTTTTTTTAATTTCTATTTTATTGATTTCTGCCCCTTATTATTTCCTTCCTTCTACAGAGTATGATTTTACTTTGATCTTTCTAGTTTCTTAAATTGGAAACTTAGGTTATTTTATACCTTTTATATATTACAATATAGCATATAAAGCTATAAATTTCTTTCTGACCACTGTTTTAGCTGCATCCTATAAATTTCTTTAAATGCTTTATTGAGATAATAATTGATATAAAATAAACTGCACATATATAAAGTGTACAAATTTGACATTTGTATACATCCACAAATCCATTACCACAATCGAGATAATGATCCTATCACCACCAAAAATTTGCTCAGTTTCTCCCTCCAGTTTCTAGGCAACCACTGATTAGCTTTCTATCATGGTAGATTAGTTTGCATTTTCCAGAATTTTAGATAAATGGAACCATAAAGTATGTATACTCTTTTATTTGACTTCTTTCAGTATAATTATTTGGGATTCGTCCATATTATTGTATCAAGAGCCTATTCCTTCTTAGTGCTGAGTAGTGTTTTATGTATAACCATAATTTGTTTAACATTTCACCTGTTGTAGACATTAAAATTTTTCTAGTTTTTGGCTACTATAGATAAAGCTTTTGTGAAGATTTGCATACAAGTCTTTGTATGGACATATACTTTTATTTCCCTTGGTATTTACCTGAGAATGGAATGGCTGAGCCATATGACACATGTATGTTTATCATTTTAAGAAACTGCCAAATTATTTTCCAAAGTGGTCCTACTATTTTACCTTCCTACCAGCAAGCAATATATGAAGGCTTCAGTTTCTCCATATCCTTGGTATAGTCAGTCATCTTAGTTTCTGCTATTCTTATAGGTGTGTAATGGTATTTCATTGTGGTTTTAATTTGCATTTCCTGAATGACTAATGATGTTGAGCATCTTTTCATATACTTATTGCCCATCTGTTTATCTTCTTTGGAGAAATGTGTGTCTATTCAAATCCTTTGCTCATTTTTTAATCAAGTTGTTTGTTTTTTTGTTGTTGACTTTGAAGAGTTCTCTATATATTCTGGATATGGATCCCTTATCAGAAATATCATTTGTAAATATTTTCTCCAGTTCTGTGGGTTGCCTTTTTACTCTATTGATAATGTCCTTTAATACACAAAAGTTTATAATTTTGATGAAGTCTAATTTGTCTAATTTTTTATTTTTGTTTCTTGTGCCTTTGATTTCATATCTAAAAAATCATTGCCGGGCCGGCCCGGTGGCGCACTGGATAGTGCGCCGCTTGGGAAGTGCGGCGGCGCTCCCGCCTGAGGGTTCGGATCCCACATACAGACCGGTTCCCGCTCACTGGCTGAGCGAGGCGCGGGAGCAACACCGAGGGTTGCGATCCCGTTGCCGGTCCCGGTCCAGTACGGGGGCAACACTGAGGGTTGCGATCCGTTGCCGGACACGGAAAAAGACAAAAAAAAAAGAAAAAAAAATCATTGCCAAATCCAGTGTCATGAAACTTTCCCCCTATGTATTCTTTTAAGAGTTTTATAATTGTAGCTCTTAGATGTCGGTCTTTAATCTACTCTGAGTTAATTTTTGTGTGTGGTGTAAGGTAAGGGTCCAGCTTCATTTTTTGCATGTGGATATCCAGTTTTCCCAGCACCATTTGTTGAAGAAAGAACATTGTCCTTTGCCTATTGAGTGATCTTGGCACCCTTGTCAAAAATCATTTGACAGTATATGTGAATGTTTATTTCTGGGTTCTCTATGCCATTGGTCTGTATGTCTGTCTTTATACCAGTGCCACACTGTTTTGATTACTGAAGCTTTGTAATAAGTTTTGAAACCAGGAAGTGTGAGACCTCAACTTTGTTCTTTTTCAAAATTATTCTGGCTATTCACAGTCCCCTGAGATTCCATATAAATTTTAGAATGTATTTTTCTATTTCTGCAAAAAACATCATTGGGATGTTGATAGGGATTGTATTGAATCTATAAATTGTTTTGGGTAGTATTGATATCTTAACAATATTAAGACTTCCAGTCCATAAACATGGGATATATTTCCATTTGTTTGTTGTCTTTAATACCTTTCAGCAATGTTTTGTAGTTTTCAATGCACAAGTCTTTTGCCTCCTTGGTTAAGTTTATTCCCATTTTATTTATTTGTTTATTTTTTGATACTATGGTAAATGGAATTGTCTTAATTTCCTTTTCTGATTGCTCATTGTTAGTATATACAAACACAACTGATTTTTATGTGTTGATTTTGTATCCTGCTACTTCTCTGAATTACTTATTAGTTCTAATCACTCTTTGTTATTTGTTTTTGTGGAATCTTTATGGTGTTCTACATATAAGATCATGTCATCTATAAACAGATAATTTTAATTTTTTCCTTTCCAATTTGAATGACTTTTATTTCCTTTTTTTGCCTAATTGCTCTCGTTAGAACTTTCAATATTATGTTGAATAGAAGTGATCAAAGTAGGCATCCTCATCTTGTTTTGATCTTAGAGGAAAAGCTTTCAGTTTTTCACCATTGAGTATGATGTTAGCTGTGGGTTTTTAATATATGGACTTTTTATGTTGAGGTAGTTAACTTCTTGTCCTAGTTCCTTGGGTGTTTTTATCATGAAAGGGTGTTGAATTTTGTCATGTAATTTCTTTTCACCAGTTGAGATGATCATGTAATTTTTTTCCTTCATTCTGTTAATGGTGGTATATTACATTGATTGATTTTCATATGTTGAACCATCCTTGCTTTAGAGGAATAAATCCCACTTTGTCATTATATATAAAATATGCTGTTGAATTTGGTTTGTGAGCATTTCGTTGGAGATTTTTGTATCAATATTTATAAAGGATATTAGTCTATAGTTTTCTTGTAGTGTCTTTGTCTGGCTTTGGTATCAGGATGATGCTGACCTCATAGAATGAGTTAGGAAGTGATTCCTCCTGTTCAATTTTTGGGAAGAATTTGAAAAGGATTGATACTAATTCTTCAAATATTTGATAGAATTCACTTGTGAAACTATCTGGTTCTGGACTTTTTTTCTTTGGGAAGTTTTTTTTTTTTTTTTTTTTTTCCTTCCTTTTTGTCTTTTTTACTGACAGGTAACGAGATCGCAACCCTTGGTGTCGCGCCCATACCGGGGACCGGCAACAGGATCGCAACCCTCGGTGTTGCGCCCGCACTGCGCTCAGCCAGTGAGCGGGAACCGGTCTCCACATGGGATCCGAACCCTCGGCGGGAGCGCCGCCGCGCTCCCAAGCGGCGCACTCTCCAGTGCGCCACCTGGCCGGCCCATCTTTGGGAAGTTTTTGATTACTAATTCAATCTCCTTAATAATAATAGGCCTATTTAGATTTTCTGTTTCTTTGTGATTTAATCAGGGTAGGTTGTCTGTTTCTAGGACCTAATTTCCTTTTGATTTCTTCTTTGATCTATGGGTTCTTTTAAAGTTACTTAGTTCCCAAATATTTGGCAATTTTTCCAGCAATCTAATCCACGTGCACTTGAAAAGAATATGTATTCTGCTTTGTTGGATATAGTGTCCTATAAATATCCATCCGATCAAGTTAGTTGATTGTGTTGTATAAGTCTTCTACATCTTTTCCAATTTGTCTACTTGTTCTCTCATTTATTGAGTTTGGAAAACTCTGACTGTAAAATCTATTTCTCCTTATAGTTTTTGCACCATGTATTTTTAAGCTATCAGGTGCATAGACATTTAGGATTGTTATCTTCTCCTAATGAATTGATCCCTTTATTATTATGAAATGATCTTTATCCCTGGTAATAGTCTTTGCTCTGAAATCTAGTGCTGTCATGGTATATCTTTCCCATCCTTTTTCCTCTTAACCTATTTGTGTCTTTATATTTAAAGTGTGTTTCTTTTAGACAGCATATAGTTGGGTCTTGCTCATTCATCTAATCTGACACTTTCTGTCTTTTAACCCTTCAAATATCTGAAGATATTCCTGTACCATTAGTCTTTTTTTTCTTTGACTAAACGTTCTTTTATTATGGTTTGATTGATATTTTTTTCTAAATCCTTCAAACTCTTCTGTGCATACTTTGCCTTAAAAGGGATATTACATCACAAAGGATTCTTTGAGTTGTCCTCTGATATGCTGATGTTGCTTATTGCTTCAGTTGATTGACATTATCACTAAAGATCTATATCTGTTTAGTTCCTCACCATTTGGTTAAAACCAATTTGGACCATCTATTCCACTTTTCTTACCCTAATTATATTTTTGTCTTGGCTAACAACTGACTTTTTGATCTCCAGAAGAATTTCAATAGGACTTAACACAAAATCTATTAATTGTTCCTCTGAAAATGTCTGTTTTAGCTCAGTCACACCAATTCAAATTTAATTATTTTGAATGTGGGTCAAATAAAACTAGACTGTAACTGAAAGGATATTAAGATGTTTACCTTTTTTCCAGGTGAAAATGTCTCCATCATCTCATCAATCCAAAGGTGATCCTGCTGCTAAGAAGGTGAGTGAGTTTTAAAGGCAAAAACCCAATTCTTCCTTCTTTGTGTTCATTCTCCTCTGTTGAACAAAATGACAGTGATTTTTAGGCATCTTGATGCTGTCCAAGGTTCGTTCTGATTGGATACTTTAATGACATATTGCTAGGACTGGTTGGCTCTTCCAGAGAAGCCAAGTAGCATCTTGGGCCCAGTATTGGTCTCCTGGCAACTAAGGACTGTCAGTTTTCTAGAATTTCTATCCTCTATACCAGACATGGTATCCTGGTATCAGTGAGTGGTAGCAGATGAAAGATATTCTGAGGAAAACTATATAGTTTTTCTTAATAAATGTGGTTTCTCTCTAGATAGCTGTGCCTAGGAAACTTTCCTGAGAAAGTAACATTTCAGCACATACCACATAAGATCTTCATTCAATACTAGTAGAACTCTCATCTGTGCCACTTCAGTTCCTGACTGTAAACTTTGTAGCACAAAGGTAGGGTGTGTGTGAGCCTTTCACCTTAGCTATGCTCAGATGATGTCAAGAGAACCACTAAAATCCTTTTCTTTGTCCAGCTGCAACAGTGCAGCTGAAATATGGTAAACACACTGACATTTTTGCTGCATTTTCTTTTACCATTTTTCTTTCTCTGATAGTTGAAGTGTTTTCTTTCCTTGCCCTTTTTTACAATTTCAGCCAGCATCCATGTCAGCAAAGGATTGTAGAACAAAAAATAACAACTTGCTGGCTCTGATGAGCAGGTTTGATTTTCAAAGCAGTGTGCCAAACTGGGTCCCTTTCTCTGCCTTCAGAATCCCCTGAGACTTTTTCAAAAACAAAAAGAATTAAAAAAAAAAGTCATCTGATAAGCCCTATACCATGCTGCACATGAAAATCTCTTTCACTGTTGTCAAAGCAGCAAGGGCAAGCAAGACTGAGGTGATGATTGTTGTTACTCAGAACCATCAGACTGTAATGGGAGGAGCAAGAAGGAGCCTAAGTCACTTTAGTCTCATGCAGTAAACAAATGAGGAAAGGGGAATCCAGATGGGAATTTTTTGCTTAAGCTCTCCAGTATTAGCTATGGCACACACTTCTAAAGCAGTTTTTAATCACTGCTTTAGATACAGTGTGCTTTGGATACTACCAAACTTGAGTTTAAATGTTTACTCTTCTTCTTATTTAGCTGAATGACCTTGAATGAGTTTGCCTGTTTCTTCCTGTATAAAATGGTTATGTCGCCTCTCAGAATTGTTCTGAAAATTAAGTGAAATACTGTTTAAGTGCTCAACACTGTGTTTGACACATAGTAAGCATTCAAGCTCTTGTTGACACTAGTTAGTATTAAAGTGCAGCTCTCCCAACTCCTAATCAGATGTTCTCTCACTTCCTTATGCTATGTATGTGTTACTGTCTGTTCAGCAAGTATTTATTTATACAAGATATTGAGCTAAGCAATGGACTACAGAGATGAAAAATGCAATCCTTGTTCTCAAGGACCTCAGCATTTAGTGGGAAAGGTAGACAGGTAAACTGGCAATTACCATACAGCTTGACACATGCCACGGAAGTTGTACAGGGTGCTCCAAGAGCACCAAGGGGAAGCTCCATTTGGAAATGACAAAGCTAATTTAGTGCAACTTTTATGTTCTGTATCATAAAAACCCTAATGAAGAACTTCGAGGAATGGTTAGCTGCTCCCTTACAACTATATTATCAGGTTATAGTGAGAGCAAATTCTGCCATATGTATAGACATTTATTATAGGCATTTAGTTCTCATTTAGAAATAGGTTCATGCAACCTGTTTTTCAAACTTGGTAATGTCCCATCTCTGTCATTTTTGGTGTCTGACCACTGTCAAGAGATGTGGCAATATTACAGAAGCAGGATTCTGTTACTCTTGTAATCAGTATCAGGCAAACAGAAACTTCGTAAGCCAACGCCTGAACAATATAGGTGGCCGCAGGTGGCATTCCTAAGAGATCAGTCCCAAGAGTTGGGACTATCTCTAAAATATTTTATCCAATCTACATATCTTGAATACTTTTTATTGTATCAATCAGAGTCCATTTCCAATATTTACCATGTTGATAAACAAACCATTAATTTCACCAATAAAAAAAAAGATTCTGTTTTATGAACTAATGTGCAAAGTCTTAGGTGTTAGTCAATATATGAACAGCTGAAGGGCTTTTAGTAGCTGCCTTTGGGAGTTCATGTTAGCTGGCCACTCCTGAAATATGGATTCTTAATTAGGATCACTGACCACCCCTCAGTTGAAGCCAAACTAAATAGCGCATATTTATTATAATACCATTTATGCTGTCTATAGTTACTTTAAAATATACATCATAACAGGTGCCTATGCCAGACTAGGAGGTCAGGGTTGGGTAAAGCTTGATCTAGCCTTTAAAAACAAAGGGAAAAGATATGCCAGGCAGACATGGGTGAGTACAGCGCACTGTAGGAAGTGGGAATGGTTCTGTAGTGTTAAATATGAAAGCATGGAAAGTCTGGTGAAAGGTAAGTGGGGCCTAGATCACAAAGAGCCCTAGTCTGTGAAGTTTGCTTTTTATCTTGAGATAAGTGTTTAGTCAAAGGTAAGATTAAAGACAGAAAGGCCAATTAGAAGGAAGAATAGGACCACTGTCCAGGTAAGAAAAAAGGACCTAACCCTTAAGGCTGTGTTAATGGAGTGAAGAGATGAGATAAATTCAAATCTTAGCTATTTTTCCCCCAGAAAACCTTTCTGACACCTTCCCTAAGCCCAAGTAGGTTTCCTTCCTTCTTTGAGCTCACAGTATCCTGAACTAGTCTCTACCAACATACTTACCTTGATGTGTTGAAATTGCCTGTCTGCTCCAATTAGATTAGAAGCCTGTGAGGGCAGGAACCACATCAGTCTTGTTTACTGTTTATATCCCTAAGTGTAGAACAAAGTAGTCACTCAGCCATTTTTGAACGAATGAGACATATATGAAAGATATTCCACAGGACTTCGTTATTGTGTATGGGAAGTGAGGGGAAAAAGAAATTTCTGGCCTGGATAACTAGAGGAAGAACAAATGAAACACCATCGCTGTCCCAGGCTTGTATTCCCAGCATGATCAGCTGCTTACTCTTTGCTCTGAATCAGCAATACTGAGTGAGATTTACATGAAGATTGATGTGAAACTCACTCAACACCTAATTATTACTTCCCTAGTTGGGTACGTATTGTTGTGTATGTATGCTTGTGTGTGCATAAGTACATCTACATATTTATTCTGTTTCTCCTCCTTGAGCTACAGTCTCTCTTCCCAAAGTTGCACTGACAGATGGAAGCAGCGGTAGTGTCTGTCGAACAGAGTGACTGCCAAAGTGACATGTATAAGCAACACAAAGGAAGCAGTAGTGTTCTCAATTTAGCTAAAGAGTTTCTGTTGACAGATAACTGAAGGAAGTGTTTGGTGACTCTGCTGTCATAACTGGCCCTGCCAAGAGCTAGATTCAAGTGCTGAGGAAATAGGAGCTGTGTTCTGTAGGCCTCTGCTGACTTCTTGGGACAGGTGTCACATGTAGGAGTCACTATTCAGGATGTCAAGTTTCCACTTTGCTGCTACATGTCAGAGTGGGTGGCACATTCCACAGCATGTATCTTTTCACAAGCATTTTGCATTTAGATATTCATTATAAAAGCTCTAGATTAGAAATATTTATTGTATAAATATATAGTTTATTAAATTTATATATAATATTTTATCTATATGAAATTTCTTCTTAATGGGCTCCGATAACTTCAGTTACAAAGTTGAAAGACAGATGTGCAAGCTTCCCTAGGACCTTTTCAGTGTTTGATCATGGATGGCCAGAAATTTAAAAATCAGGAAGCATTGCTTTCAGATAAAAATGGACATAAAAGCCCATTACAATGAATTCCCTAGAATACATCCAAATTGGAGGTGTTGAGAGTGTTTGAAGTGGATTAAAGGAGTTTAGAGAGTTAGTTGAAGGCAGCATCAAAAACCACTTGGCTGTGATGCATCTCTTTTTGACTACTAAAGAAATACCAACAGGAATTTTTGTAGCAAAATTGGGTCTGTTATATACATAAAAACCAGAGAAAGCATTTTGTTTTATATCTTCATCTCAGAAGTATGATTACACTCTCTGAGCCATCCCCCATTTTATTTATTTATTTATTTATTTATTTATTTATTTTTGTCCTTTTTATGACCGGCTGCACCACGCTCAGCCAGGAAGCGCACTGGCCATCCCTATATAGGATCCAAACCCGCGGCGGGAGTGCTGCTGCGCTCCCAGCGCTGCACTCTCCCGAGTGTGCCACGGGCTCGGCCTGCCATCCCCCATTTTAGATCAACTTTCTCTGCTGGGGTATTTGAAGAAGACTGAGGGGCTAAAGACCATCCTCAGGCTGGTGGTGCCACTGGAACATCCACAGTTGATGTTCTCCTCAGAGTAATTTCTTCCAGTTACAGCCAAGACACTGGGAACATAGTGGAAAACCTTTCCAGTAGTTCTGTCATTCCATTCAGTAAATATTCAGCAACCCTCTGTTAGGTGCCAGGCTTCAGAGGGACAAAGGTCAGTGAAATATAGTTCTTGTTCTCAGCACATTTACAAGTTAATGGTGACTGAACCGATAGATTTCATAGCCAAATCTCTGAGAAATTGGTTTCCAGTTTCTCAAGTGTTCAAGTGTATTGTAAGAATTTGGAGCTGATTTTTGTTGTTGTTCCAAGTATTCTGCTGTAAAGGTTTTATAGTCCAGTGCCCAGTCTTGCCACTCATGTCAGGATGTATACAACTATACTTGCTCATGATTTTTATTGAATTGCATGTTGTTGTTGCTGCTGTCTTGTTTGTTTTTGTTTTTGAGGGAAAAAAGCTTCATAAAACCACTGTTTCTATAACAGGAAAAGCTGTCTGCAGTGTCTTAGCTGATCAGCCCCAAGAATGGCTGGTTGATATGATAGCTTTACAAGTCAAGGGAAGCATGAATGAAAAAAGCACTGAGTAG